ACCACGCCCTCACTGCTACACCCGAACTGGTGGGAACTCATGTTTCTTCCGCGTCCTAACAAGGCGCTCATGCTATCTACCAACCTCGTGAATGCTACGGCTACACCCACAGACTTACAACACTCTATCACTATCTTCCAACCTCATGAATGCTACGGCTACACCCACAGACTTACAACATTCTAGCACTATCTGACCGCTAATGAATGTTACGACTACCCCCACAGTCTTACAACACTTTCCATGCTAACTGACTGTTAGTGAAAGCTAAGGCTACCCCCGTAGTCTTACAACACTTCCCATACTATCTGATTGTTAGTGAATGCTACGACTACCCCCGTAGTCTTACAACACTTCTCACACTGTCTGGATGCTAGCGAATGCTACGACTATCCCGCAGTCTTACATCACTTTCCATACTGGTCGAACATGCATTCGACCTAACACTCAACTGAACTTGAGTCCTAATTGGGTCTCTAACATGGTTCCCGAACCTGTTATCCGATGCCAAGGAAGAATGTGAACCAAACGTTGGAACGTTTTCTGAACTCCCAATTCACCCAATCTTCAATCAAGACGGCCACTCGACCGCCTTCCTCCCTGACGGGGATGCGAAACTCGTCCTAGTTTCACACCTATTACTGCTCCTAAGTACCTAGTTGATCCTCCCCCACTTAGACTCGACTAATCTTCACGACACGTGAGAATTGAAGGATTCTCAATCCTTCTTACTTTCTAAAAATCCACTGATGACCACCTATGCTTACCAATGCTAGCGATCACTTACCAGTCGAACCCTAAGATTGCCCATCCTCTGAAATCTTGAAGAGTACTTTAGAAATCTGGTCCATTCTGACACTTCAATCCATCCCCCATGCTGACATCTGGAGGCCTTAATCTTCACCCTGGCTGACTAGTTCTCGTTCCCAATTCCATTCTTGCAGTACCCCTGAACTATAAACGAACACATCCCATGCGTAAGTACATTTATCTTGAACATCCACTGGCCAACCACTTGTGCATCTAACACCCACAAGTGACACTACCATCTTCATGCTACCAGTGCTTTCCTAGCATCAGTCATGCCTTGAACTCCAAAGTTCTTCCATAGGCAATTGTCGACCATGCCCGAACAATGATAGAACCACTGAACTCTGACTTCGCCGGAGAACTATCGCTTTAACCCTGACCAAATATCCTCCAAATAATGCTCTTGCACAGATCTTGACAAAGATCCAGAATGATAACGGTACACGCGGAACCCACTCCGCAAGATACGTCCCTCTGTAGATTCATCAAGGACTTTTCTCGGCATGCAGAATGACATATGAATACCCTTGATGACCCAGACGATAGTAGAGAACCGACCCGAGATCTAACTAGTTTGAACTGAATTAAAATTCCAAAGTGGTACAAATTCCCGTCATCCACCTAGTAGCAGTAGAAGATGACATACCCGTAACATCTGGAGGAATCCTGATCACCTTCTCCAGAGATACTTCGACCCTCCTGAGATCATGGTGCAAAACTCCCTTCCGATCCCGATGACAAGGACTAACAATAGGATCCCCCTACCTGAAGGATTCTAAGGATCCACATGCTTTGGGCTCCGGGTGAGCCCCTAACTACCCCGTGACAAATCTAGCCCGAAAGGCCCCGAGACAACTATCAAGAGCTCCCTAAATCCCTTCCTTGGTTGAACGAAATACCACCGAGGTCCATTCCCAAAACTCTGCGAGTAAATCTCCATTGAGATGAACTTCTGCGGTCGCGCATCGACTGACCCAGGCCCTGCTCCTGAGCCGGAACCAGAATCCGAATCTCTTTCTTGGGTGCTCAACACCATACCGAACTGACATTCCAAAGATTCGAATATACCCAAGAATCCTTATCCCACAGGCTTCCTGGATTCTCTAAGACTCTCCCCGATTCGAGTATGGATCTTGTGCTTTCAGTAGTACGGGCCCAATACTACCTTCCACACATATCCATACTTTCTTCAGAAATCATCCCGAATCCTCCAAGTCACCTTCTCAAACTGATACCCTGAATGCTCGCTAACAGCGCAACTAAATCTATTAAAGCATTTCCTAGGCTTTCCTAGGTTCTCGACCTCACCTAGTCCTCAGCTGCTGAAAGACTCCTACCAATGTCAACTAACTACCTCATGGATATAGTCACATGCAACAGATATCAGATAATCCTTCGAGTAAAATACTCAATCCTAGAACGGTTGGACTCAAACAAGAGTTGCGCAATAGGGCCAAGTTTTTCACTCTGAGATTATCCCACATGTGCCCCATGTGACTTTGCATATCCACTTAGTTGTCAATTCACATCACCAAAGAGCCCCATAGAGCACAAAGCAAGCAACATTCAGACAATGGGGAAAATCTGACCAGCAAATCACTATTCATACCATTCTGTCCTCTAATCAGGAATCTGTACTAGCATGTAATTAAAAGGATAATACAATCAGACATAACCTACACAGTCTATCCTATCACTGGTTAATCGGTACTAACATGCAGATCTACAAGCACAACAGTAGGCATATAAGGCATCCTTCCTAGATCCTTAGCCCTAATCTAGCATGCATTTCTCATAATCATATCATATCATAACATAACATGTATGGGTATCTTGAGGAAAACTTACTTGAGCTCGGCTGATTGCCCGCATCACACACCTTGTTCTTTTCAAAGTTCTTTTCTCGTTTCAAATTATTTTCAACCTTCTTTTTATAAAATGATTTTACTTTTGAAAATTTTCATACCAAGTCCTTAGTTTGAGTACAGACACACCCGAGAGTGTGCCCGAATCCCTCAAACCAAGGCTCTGATACCAACTTGTAACATCCGAAAATTCAAGACCAAAAATTTCAATTTAATTAAGTTATTATAAAACCAACAACATAGGAAAACATCCATAATAATATCCCATGTTAAAACCAAAGTGTCAATAATCAAAACATGTTATCATAAAACAATATCAGAGTGTAATCCCAAAGATCTCATGTGCGGAAAACATAGTGTGATGCGTTGCGATCGAGTCGGCTCCTTTCCTTTAAAAACGAAGTACCTGAAACCAAAAATGAAAACCGTAAGCACGAAGCTTAGTGAGTTCCCCCATCATACCACATAACCAACATACTGCCGAGCAATTATGGGGTACACGACCTACCCTGTCTAGCAATTCTGGGGAGCCGACCTACCCTGTCTGGCAATTCTGGGGTGCCGACCTACCATGTCTGGCAATTCTAGGGTTCCGACCTACCCTCCGGTTTATCTCAACCAGTTACGGGGACTATTTCACCCCTACTACTACCACATAATAACATAGCATAAACATACTGTCAGGCATATCTGGGGTGCCCGACCTACCCTTCGGTCCTTACGACCGTAACACGGGGACTATTCCCCCTACTACCTACTATCACATAACATCATATCATGCTACACATAATCATAACAGATAACAACATACCAGATAATTATCATGAAGACAATTATATCTACTATAACTCTTACTAGTGGGTCGGCCTTGGTGCCTTAGACCCACTTCTACTTGAAGGTAACTCACCTCGCACTGCTGAAGTCCCCGCGGACAAAACTCTAGCTACTGGATGACAGATTCCCGAACTGTCAATCATCAAAATAACACCCAATCAGTAATTGGGTTCCAACATATACCTAGAAGTCCATGCTTGGGGAAAAGGCTACTTTACCCCCAACTTAGCTTGACTCAAGCCCAAGGCCCAATCCAAAGGCCCAAAAGTCACTATGAGTCAAAGCCCAACATATGGCCCAATTTTCCAAATTGGGCCCAAACCTCTACATGGTCTTCCCCTAAGGCCCAACCATTTAGTCTAGTCCAAACATTTTGGCATTTCTAATGGCCCAATATCTCATAATCATGAAGGCCCAATTATGCCCCATCTATGGCCCAATGTTCCAAATTGGGCCCAAACCCTCACATGGGCCTTACCCTAAAGCCCATCCATTATTCTAGTCCATATGCTTGTTCTTGGATGGTCCATTATTAGCCTAATCACCAAAACCCAATAGGAAGGCCCAACTTATGGCCCAAGCAAGATTAGGGTTTTCACATAAAATGACGATTAGGATTAAGTGCTTCTTACTTAACCCATTAAGGACTTAATCCATTAAGTCCATCAATCTACTAGGTCAATCATATAGTGTGGTCGGGCTTAATACATAATCCCATTCCGGTCATCCAAAATGTCGGTCCCGACAGTCGAAAACCCATATATCCAAAATTAGGGTTTTCTAAACCCTAATAAGGGTTTCCAACCCAATCATAGCCCAATAGGCCCAAAACTAAGTCATTAGATTAATTAGGGTTTTATTAGGCCCACTAGGGTTTCATTAGCCGGGCACCACCCACTACTACCTCGGGTAGTGGTGGTCAACGATGACTCACGATGGTTCACGATGGCGGCCACCACCTCACGGTGGTGGTTATGGTTCTAGTCCATTTTGTCTAAGCATCCCAAACTAATCAAAACACAAACAAGGTACATCGACACCCAACACGGAGGCTGTGGCAGCAGCCACCACCTTACGGGTGGTGGTTATGAGTTGTCTTTATTATACTATTCACTAATTACAATTTAGAATGCTTTAACCCAAAAAAAAACACACACACTAATAGATAGATACACACACACAACCACCCTTGTGGTGGCCGGCGGTGGTAGATGGTGGCAGCCACCACCTTACGGTGGTGGTGGTGGCTGTTCTCGATTTTCCGGCCAAACTACAATATACACACAAACACACCAACAACAGAAACACACCCCATCCACACTTCTATTTGCAAGCACCCAGCCACCATCCTTGCGGCATACGGCGACGACAACATACTCAGGAATTGGCGGCAACAACGGCAGTTTGTGATGCAGCGGCGGCAGCATAGCTGATGACGGGACAGAGGAAGAGATGAAGGGTGGAGACGGACGCACACCTTCACAAAATAAACTAGTAGTGAGGCGGCGACGGTGACAGCAAGCCATGATGATAGCAGCGGCTACGAGTGTTGGTTCCTCTGACAATTGCTACGTCGTCCATGTCTTCGTCGGTGACGGAAACACCGACGAGTTGAGCAACCGTAGGGAGATGGCGGCAGAGGGCAGAAAAAGAAGAAGAAGACATGGAGGGACGGTGGCAGCGGCACAACACGGCGACAATGCAGCGTTTTACGTCCGGCGGCAGTCCTGTGGTCACTGGCGGCCTTTCACTGATCGGAAAATCGGGTGGTGGCAGCGCCGGTGAAGGAGGCATAAGGGTGGGTGGCGGCTGAAGTGTTATATAGGTTTAGGGTTACATATTGTATATATATGAAGGGGGTGACGGGTTTGTGCCCGTCAATTTCAAGACTTAGTCCATAATTACACTTCTAGCCTCTCCTTCCAAATTGTTCTCAACTTAAATCTGTTATTTACCAAATAGCCCCCTTCCTTAATAATTCATTTCGATCCAAGTCCCAGAAGTTACCGTTTAACCCTCAACATTCCAAAATCCTTTCAATTTAAGTCTAATAATTACTAAACACCCCCCCCCCCCATATTTTTGAAAATCTTTACGAATTAAATCCCGGAATTACTCTTTAACCCCTGAAAACCCAAATTATATCATTTGGCTCCTGAAAACCAACACCTCACAAAATATTATGGATTTTAGGCTTACTATTCATAATAATTTTATCTATTTTATTTATTTTATAACCGGGGTGTTAAGCCTGTACTCTTATCGTATAGATGAGTACGCCCCGCGTACTCACTGAATTGGGCTTTGCGTTGTTTGGGCCTCGGTTTGGGTCACTTTCATGGATTAGTGACTTGGGCCGTGGTGGACCATCTGGAACTGGACCAATGGGCTAGAGAAACATTATTGGGCCTTGGGCTAAGGCCCATGCGAAAGGATTGGGCCCAATTGGAAATTGGGCCATATATTGGGCTTCATGGGATTGTTTATCTTTTAGGTCATGGGTTGTGATTTAAGGACTAAGTTATGTTAGGGGTAAAATGGTCTTTTACTCCAAGTTGCAGTTTTTGGTTAATGAGGTAGATCTCTTTGTTGATTAGCTTTTATTTGGAAATTGTTAGCTTAGAGAGCTGTAGGACCAACAGACATGGATCATTCGCTTCAGTCAGCTTATCAAGGTGAGATGGGCAGAGACCCAGGGCATCAAAGACGAGGGGGCATGAGTTTAGTCCAACTTATTAACGTTATAGGTATATTTTGGTCCAAAATGAGTTCATCATCGATCTGCTCCAATCGACTGTGTTGTTTTGAGAATTCAATTCTGGTTTCATCTTCCCTATCGTAGCCTAGAACGACAACATGTCGATTCGTGTTCCCAATCATCGATTGGTCAAGTGACTTTGGCTTTTATTCGGATATGTAATAATTATATAGCCTCTCCCAGTCTCCCGATTTCTTTCAAGAACATATGATGAACTGTAATTTTTCTAAACTCTCATTTCTCGTCTCTCAATTTTTGGATACCCCTTCTCTCTGATTTATGTGGTTATGTCAATATATAATCATGATCTTCTTTTAAAAAAACATTTCTAATTTCTCTAATTTTAGTATTCTCCATTTTCTGATTTCTCTAAACTCCATATTTGTAGATAAATAATTTGTGTTCTGATTTAGGACTCAAGAGGTATATATTTTATTGAATATTTGGAGGTGTTTTCTATTCAAAATTTTCAATATTTGGAGGTGTTTTCTATTCAGAATTTTCATTGTTGCTTGTAGACTGTAGTTTTTAGAAAAATGGATTTTGATTTCTAATTCATTTTTTGATTCATTTTTCAGATCACTTGCTTATTTCAAGTCAAAATAGAAACATAAAGTTTGGCCAGGTTATAAATCACTCCTTATGTTTTTGCTTAATTTTTTCTTTACTTTAATCCTTGCCCAAATTCTTGGAGTTCTTGGTTGGCTTTATAAATAGTTTTAAGGACTAAGTGAGTTTGAAACTTGGAGTTCGTATATTGATAACATGTGGTGATTTTGAAATCTGCAGTCCAGTTGGCCACTTGGATATTTGAATTGGAGATTTTTAGTTGAAGGCTCTTCCATAATTTCATAGACTACTTGTAACACCGAAAATTTTCAAACAAATTTTTCATTTTAAATCACATAATTCTCATAACACATTTTATAAAAATCTCATTTATTTACTTTACAAAACGCAACTCCATGTTTGTTTGATTAATAATCCAGGATCCTCGAAACATAACTCTTTCTCTGGTGTGTACAATCAAGTCGGTGCCTTCCCGCGATCCTAAAAAGAACCTGAAACACATATCACATAACACTGTAAGCACAAAGCTTAGTGAGTTCCCCAAAATACCACACATATCTCATTAGCCTCTCATGGCTATAACTCAGATAAGACGCTCCGGTCAATGTGTCTCAGTGGGACCCTCCGGTCCCACAACTCGGTTGGACGCTCCGGTCCTAACTCAATAAAGCTCAGCATAACACACATCATAAATCACAAAGATATAATGCAGGATATCACAATACTCAATATAAGCACATAAGACCCTCCGGTCACACAAATTACCACTTAAGGTATGTATAGTGAGAAGACTCACCTCGGATGATGAGCAGCCTCTATAAACGTTGTTGGTACACACCGGCCTCTAACTCTGAGTCAAAACCACAATTAACCCAATTAGGAACTAAGTCCAGACTCTCACTCATTAGTTCTAAAGGAAGACCACTAACCAGCCCATTAATAGCCTAAAACCCATTGGGCCCACCAAGGCCCAATAATAAATGGGCTCACCCGAGGCCCACTCTCAAAACTAAATGGCAAGCCCAACTCAAGGGCCCAAACACAAATATAAATATTCCTTTTGGTCCAATAATCAATTGCAACAAGCCCAAACTCCAGGCCCAACACTCAAGGCCCAAAATGTGACTTAGCCCAAAAGTCCACAGTGAGGTTACGCGGGGTGTACCTCCCTTGGTACGCTCAGCGTACTCCCAATCCAGATTTAGCCATCGGGGACACTGGGGCAGTACGCAGGGCGTATAGGAGTTACCCTCAGCGTACTCCCCATATTCACACTTTCTACTCCTTTGGTCTTAATCAGTTAAGACATTAACTCAAATCCCAGATCTGGACTCCCTAATGGCTCTTACTCCATAAAGTCAGTGACTTTAAGCCTTTGCATGGCTGGAAAGGTCACAAACACCCAAAACACTCACTCCCTTATCTCAAAAAGCTCATAACACATGCATGGCGTGATTCCAACGACAAAGATTGGATTTTTTATGACATTACACAACTAATATACTCAAAAGGGGTTGGTCCTAGCCTCTGGAACTCAAGATCTCATAAAGTCTCCACCTTTTTGGGACAAAACCCTAAAAGTCTAATCTATGATGCACATAACAAAAGAGTGGTAAAGTTTGAAGCTTTATACCTCTATATGAAGCTCCCAACTCATATTTGCTCAGATCCAAGAGCTTGGGCTTCCACTCCTTCTTCTCCAAAGCTTTCTCTTCTCTTCAAGAACACACAACTCTCTCAAATGCTCATAAATGCACTCACAAGCTCTAAAACGAGGGTTAGGGCACACTTAGGGTTTGATGTCTGAGGATGGTGGCCAGAAATGAGGCCATCATATCCTTTATATAGGGGACTCACCCTAAATTAGGGTTTTCACTCTGGTCCTAGTACGCCCAGCGTACTAGGTGGCTCTGTCACACCCCAAACCAAGGATGGCGGAAACGTCCGGGGGTGGAGGACTTCATGTATAGTATCATAACAACAATTGTAATAGTAATTCAAGCAAACACAACCAACATATATATAATTGAAAAAGTTACATCATTGTATGAATTACATGTTTACGAATCAATTACAATATGTTGACAAAATATGAAATAGTAGACGCCTTAGCGTCCCATCCTCAAAAGCACTTGGTTACCTGTTTAATGATTTCCTGAGAATAAAAGTTGTTTGGAAAAGTGTCAACACAAAGGTTGGTGAGTTCATAAGCTTTTGTTTGATATTATTAAAAGCCTTTCGTTTGTAAAAGTAGTATTTGTTTTAGAAAATCCAATATTTTCCTTAAAATGTATATGTAGTCTTAAATTCAAAGACCGAAATGTATAAGTAACTTTTCTTACTTATAATAAATAATGTAAGTTTAAATCGACATAAACTCGTTTAATTTTAATGAAGTTCCCGTAAATTCCAATATTTATTAATACTTTGTGTGAGTTTATTATAACCATGCTATGACCAAGGTTGCCTAAAACGACGTTCTTCGGGCGTCGGAAATGTTATGACATTTGTCACCCCAGACCTATCGGTCTAACTGTTGCATGCAGTTTAGGTGTGGGTTTGTCAAACCCAATATAGATCTATACACAACTATCACGCTCTCCCTCAAGGAGACTCTGGTTACAATACAGGACTTAATGGTAGTTTGAAGTAAATGTCTCACAAAGTCATTAACGAATTTACGTGTAGTGTAATGAAAACTTGGTACCGTATGGCCGTACCTTGCTTAATGAAAATATCCTTTGTATAAATGTACCCTTTTTAAATGTATGTGTTATGTAATGTATCATAAACTATACCTATTATAGTTTATCAACCAAGGGTAGTACGTAGTAATGTATGCAAACTATATTCAAAATAGTTTATTAAATGTTTGAATGTATCGGTTGTACTTTGATTATAATCACTTGTTATTCTTTATATTTTATATGTCCAAATCCATTTGTAAACTGATGTGTGTCTAAATATTAAGATGAAATGTCATATATTGCAATAACATATAATCACATAAAGATATACACCTTGCTCAACATGTTACAAGGTGAAATGAAATTGACAGCAACTTTTCGTTGAATACAGTTTCTGTTACTGTTCTTAGAAAATTTATAGAAAAATCATCAAAGCTCTAAATCCAAATCCGCAAATCTGAGAGTTTGGAATATGAGTCTAGTTTGTTCGTAAATTTTATCATGATTTTTAGTGATCTCTAACAGAGGTGAAAATGTTCATAATCACAGACTGGTCCGGGTTTGCCTCTGAAATGACAGGCAGTTTTGTAAAAATCACCATAAATTGTAGAAAAATCATATGGAGATGTGCAAGTAGCCATTTTAAAGCTAAGAGTTTGAACTACTTGCACCTGGAACAGTTTTGAAAACTAAAATATTTAAGTTGACCAAAACAGTCCGTGATCGAAGTTCATCTTTTCTGATGTAATCTGATAGAAAAAGTTTAATTGTGTTCTTGA